TAGCATTATTAGGGCTCCACGGCTTCAGAATCCAGCGTTTTGGGGCTTGTTTTTTGGGATCAGGTTTACTCACGGTTACTGGTGCAAGCAGCAGCTTTAAAAGTGATTTCTGGTGCAGTTGGTGGCTTTATAGGGAGATAGTGCTCCAGGAGTGAGAGCTTCACCTTCCTAGTTGGGCACCGCCATCTTCAGATCCCTCAGTGTCATTAAAAGACTCCGCTCTGAGGCTTCTTGAGCACCTCTGTTCCCTCCCCACTTGTGGCTTGGGGTATCTGGAGAGAAGGTGCTTTCTTTTCACCTCCAAACTTTCCTTCCCCCTCCAAAACCTGACTGATCACCCCAGATTTCTGCTCTCCATGCTGCAGCACCTTCACATGCTGTGAAACTTCCACAAGCATTCCCAGGAAAGCCTAAAACTAGGAAGGGAGAATGAATGAGAGGAGTGCATTATATCATATAATACATAAATAATAGAAATGATTAAAATACCCTAGAGTCACTTGTTTTGAAATTTGAAAAACAGTAATCTGTGCACTGCTTTTGTCCTTTCTGAACCTCTCTGGACCAAGTCCCAATATTCTTGTGGAGTTTTTCATAAAATTCTTCTTGTTTGTTATTTGGTGCATATATTGCAATGAAAAAAATCTGTTTCTGATTTATTACAACCTCCACCATCAATATCCTCCCTTCTTCATCTGAATATACTTGTTTAGCTTTTAATGTTTCTTTAACATATAATGCCACCCCTCTTTTCTTTTGTTATGCCAATACAGAATATAATTTCCCAAGTTTGGGGTATTCCAATAAGTTGCCATGTTGCTTTTTCATATGCACTTCTTGAAGACAAATTAAGTCCAGTTTTAATTTTTGTAATTAATAAATGTTTTTTCCTTTTCATAGGGGACTTCAATCCATTTCTGTTGATTGATAACATCTGTATTTCTTCTTCCATCACTTCATTTATATATAGATTTTATACTCTTAGTTGTCTTATCTCTCTCTGTTCTTTTGCTCTTGCACCTTCTCATTCTGCTTGCTCTCTTTTTTCATTTTCACTCTCTTGTTGCAAAGTCTTTTCTTCTGCTTGGATTTCTTCTTGCCTTTTACTTTCTATCTCTGCTTTCCTGTTCTTCACTTGCAGTAAAATGATGATCAAAAAAATCATATGCTTTGTCTAATGAGTCCAGACTAAATATTTTATCTTGCGAGATAACCAGGAGTCCCTCTGGTATCAGCCATCTGAAAATCACATTATATTTAATCAGTTGAGCTGTCAAGAATTGATACTGTCTCCCTTGATCTCTTACTCTCCTGGGGATTTGTTTCAAAGTGACAATTTCTTTCCCTTTATATTTGAAAGGCTGATCTCTTGATCTTTTGAGTACTTCATCTCTCAATGTCTTTTTAGTAAATCTCACATGTACCTCACTTGGAAGTTTATATCTTCTTGCATAGTTTGTATGGATTCTAAATATTTTGTCTATTTCCCCTTGGACTTCTTGTTTACTTTTCTGTAGAACTCCAGCCAACAGTTCTGTTATCACAACCATTCTAACAGATAACAGATAATCAGAGTTGGAAGGAATCATGTAGGTCACCTAGTCCAACCCCCCACCCAAGTGGAAGACCCAGCACCATTTCTGACAAATGGCAGTCCAATCTCTTCTTGAAAGTCTCAAGTGATGGTGCTCCCACAAATTCTGAAGACAAAGCTGTTCCATTGGTTGATTGTTCTCACTGTCAGAAAGTTTCTCCTTATTTCCAGGTTAAATCTCTCCTTGTTCAGTTTCCATCCATTATTCCTTGTCTGGCCTTCGGGTGCTTTGGAAAATAGCTTGACCCCTTCCTCTCTGTGGCAGCCCCTCAAATATTGGAAGACTGCTATCATGTCTCCCCTGGTCCTTCTCTTCACTAGACTACCCAAGCCCAGTTCCTGCAACCGTTCATTGTATGTTTTAGCCTCCAGTCCCCTAATCATCCTGGTTGCTCTTCTCTGTATTTTTTCTAGAATCTCAACATCTTTTTTATAGTGTGGTGACTAAAACTGGATGCAGTACTCTAGGTGTGGTCTTACTAAGGCTTTATAGAGGGGTATTAGTACCTCACGATCTCGATTGTATCCCTCTGTTAATGCAATTTAGGATTGCATTAGCTTTTTTGGCTGCTGCTGCACACTGCACACACCATAGAAGTATGATACTTATCTGAAAAGTAATGTGTAAAATGTTAAGATTTAAATGAATATTAATGTTAATGATAGAATTGAATTGGTATGGATTGTTGTTCTAATTATATTATACATCTATAATTTTTTCTTTTTTCAAAATACAGTGTGTAGTTTTAGAACGTACCAAGCAGAATCCGAACGGAAGTTATGTATTATATTAAGTGTTATAATTCTAGGGGAAAGATATAAAGGCGTCATACTCCAATCAGTGATTACAGGAGAAATTTTGTTTAATGAGAAAAGATAGTAGACAGTTGAAACAGGACAGACAAAGAATATAAGTACAATGATTTGAATTGAGATGAAATAAATAAAATAAAATTAAGAAAGTTAAAAGAGAGGAGAAGCTATATAGAAAATGTAGAATAAATAGTAATAAGAAATGGAATGGAATATAATAATGAGCATGAACTTGAATTTGTGTCTGTACGAAGAGATGCAACCCAGGATTATGCTGGTTTCAAAAAAGATGTTTTATGTTTTTATGTTTTATGTTTTGTTTGTTTATGTTTGTTTTTAAAAATCAATAAAATTTTCAAAAAAAAAAATAAAGAAACTGGGTAAAAGCACCATTCAGATGAGCACAAACACACTGCAGCAACCTGGAATATCAGAAAAAGGAAACATATCTATACAACATCTTCCAACAAAATGGCTATCCATGCAACTTCACAACTCTGTTATTCTGTTCTATTTTTTTTAATCAAAAAGTGTCTGACCATTCAGCCAAATATAACACAACTGACACAAGCTGTAAAAAAGAGAGCATTGCCATACGTCAAAAACATCTCAGAAACCACCAACAGATTGTTACAATCACACAGCATCTGCATAGCACACAAACCAACTAAAATTGTCCAAAACATCTTAAGCAAAGCATCTTAAGCTTAAGCATCTTAAGCTTAAGCATCTTAAGCACCAAAAGACCTAGAAGCCCCAGAAGAAGAAAAAACTGGAGTCATTTACAACATACAGTGTAACAGCCATTATGTTGGACAAACAAGCAGAAGACTAGCCAAGTGCATTCATGAACACTAACTAGCAGTTAGAAGACATAAGGAAAACTCCTTAGTTTCACAACACATGGACAGGCTGAACCATAGTTTTAACTGGGAAACTGACCATCCTAGACTAAGTTAAGGACAAAATGCTAGAGAATTCCTGGAAGCCTGGCACTCTGACAAATTGGCCATCAATGGGCACATGGACAGCATATACATAACATTCAGAAGAGACAATGAACAATGAACAAGTCAAAAAAGGAACAAAAAAGACCAAAATATCTTCCCCCCATCAACAATCAACATCTTGAGTTGAGTGGTGATAAACACCAACATGAACACCAGATGAACAATAAAGAGGTAAACAATACTCCAATCAAGAAACTGCCAAACAAGCTAATAGTAAACAGGCTATTCAAAGAACCACCATGACTACCCACACCAACCCTGACAGGACAAGCCATTAGAGCAGAGGTTCCCAAACTTGGCAACTTTAAGACTTGTGGACTTCAACTTCCTGGGAGTTGAAGTCCGCAATTCTTAAAGTTGTCAAGTTTGGGGACCTCTGCACTAGAATATAGTTACCCCCATTTCAATCATGAATCTCTAGCCGGATTTTCAAAGCTTAAAGAAGATTTATTAGGAGTAAACATGCCGGTGCTGCCTGGGTGCAACCAACTCTGAGACACATCATTCATTGTCACCCTTGACCCTGGTTCACCCTCTCCCCGATGTATAATAATTCATATTCGCTAACATCCATAGCCAAGAGTCATCAATCATACTCTCCAGTTAGAATTTTGCGAGGCAGAAACTTCGGTCGCCTAGAAACTATCTTTGAAAATATTTATAGAATGAAGTTTTGTTTTTGCAAGCTGCTGCACTGCTCCCCCTCCCTTTCTGTTGGCAACTCTAAAAGACCAGAGAAATATTTTATGAGTTGACACTAATAGTTATTATAGATAAATTGTAAATAAGGGGCAGGGAATAATGCATTCACTTTAGGCACATTGGATAGATTGTGATGGCCTGAGTAGTCAGCCAATGAGGAAAAGGTGGGAATTAAACCTGCGGTGGTGAATATAAAGAAAATATATTGGTGGCTTAAGGTGTTTCCACTGTACCTAAGAATATGTGATACACTCTCTTTGCAAAGTAGTAAAATACAAATTACCATTAAAAAATGGCTTGTAATCATTTCAAAACTAGACAACAAAACCCACAATAGCAAAAGAATGGATAAAGATCATAAATGCAACCAAATGCCATCAGTCATGATAGGAAATATATTTATTGGATCACTTTACTATAGCAGTAGAGAAGGTAATAGTAATCTACAGTTTCAAATAGGACCCAGTTAAAGCCAAATTCCTGCTTCTTGATCAGGTTAAATATCATGAATGAATCCAAGAGATCTGATATCATTGCATAGAAAGATTCATATACTGTACAGATCCAAAGATAATCACAGGATAATAGTGAATGTCTCACAAAATACTGAGAGTCTGATTGCTCAGAAGTCTTCATTTTTGATCATCTTCTCTTTTGGCTCCTGAATTTGTATGTGTGGGGAGGAAAAAACTGAAGTTCTGATTTTATCAAATCTTTAAAAGAAGCAATTGTTATCAAATTGGGTGTTATCAGAATGGAAGTATAATGCAGATAAAATGAACTTCCCTAAAAAATTATCATATATGATCTAAACATTTATCTTGGGGAACAGAGATAAGCATATCGATCTCCGGTGCTTACTAAGTTATGCATGTTAAAAGTCATGTTTCTGTTTTGCTTTTCAGAATAAGCTGCTCCTTTGTATTCAAATCAGGTCGAAAAAGGATAATGTAGCACTTGGGGAAAAAGATGCAGCCCAGCAGCCCAGCATTGGAGACCAAGATGGAGAAGACCTGCACAGCCACCATATATTTGCCCTTGGTGCTGAGGTAGGTGGGCACAAAGGAGATCCAAACACTACAGAAGACCAGCATGCTGAAGGTGATCAGCTTGGCTTCATTGAAGGCCCCAGGCAATCTCCTGGCCAGGAAAGCTACCACTAAACAAACAGCTGCCAGGAAGCCCATGTAGCAAAGTGCGGTGTAAAACATGGTGACTGATCCTTCGTTGCACTGCAGGACAATCTCTCCAGACTGGGAATACATATCTGAGTCTGGGAAGGGGGGAGAGGTGCTCAACCACATAGCACAGATTGTAACTTGGACAACAGAGCAAGAAAGAACAATGGAGTTGCCCAAAGATTTCCCCAGCCATCTTCTCACAGTATTTCCTGGTTTGGTGGCTAGGAAGGCCAACACCACCATGATGGTTTTGGCCAAGAGAGAAGAGACGGCCACTGAAAAAATGATGCTGAAGACTGCTTGTCTCAGAAGGCAGGTGGTTTTCCTTGGCTGGCCGATGAAGAGGAAGGAAGACAAGAAGGAAAGCAGGAGGGAAATGAGGAGCAGGTAGGAAAGGCCCCGGTTGTTGGCTTTGACTATTGGAGTGTCCAGGTGCTTAATAAATATGCTTAAAACAAAGCCTGTGCTCAAAGAGAAAAGTAAAGCAAAGGAAGTAAGGATGGTCCCCAGATCTTCTGAGTAGGATAGGAAGGTTATCACCTTAGGAACACACTGATCTCGGTTCTTGTTGGGTTGCTGGTCCTTGGGGCATCTCAAACAATGTTTGGCATCTGGAAAGAACAAATGCAAAATCTCTTGATGTTCTCTTCTCTTTGTAGGATTTTTGTTCACAAGACTGTCAATAAGCACAGGTAGGAAGTAATTTTGCATACGGGAATGCATTAAATCAATATATACACTTGTGTGGAGATACTCCTCTGTATACGTTTTTAATAATACTGGAGAATTCTATTGCATGATTAGAAAAATGGTAAATAGAATCGAATAGAATCTATTGAGTCTATTGGATAAAATCTATTGGATTTTGTTCCAGTATCGGTATTCACTCATATTCACATAGTTTCTAATTATATGGGTTACTATTCCATATATTATATAATTATTTCTACCTTTAAGTTGTAACAGTATTTACAGATTATATATATATATACATACACATACACATACACATAGTATTAAGTTATTAATTTTTAATTGAAACAGTTTTTACTGGTTTTGGTTTTAAATTTTTTACTGAATTAGGCCACGGACCTGTGATTGTGAAATGAAATAAAAATGCAGGGGATAGAGATTAAATGGACTGAAATGATAGAATTAATTGTGGCTATTCAAAACTAGTAAGACATGAACAGCTTTTCTCTCTGGAGTCACCCACCTTCCTGAGTGGAGATGGTCCCTTCTGCACAAGGAATACAACTATAGCAGCAAACCGGTTTGTCTTCATCAATCAGCTTGACAAACCCAAGCAGGCAGCTATCCACACACCGAGACCTTGGCAGGGGCTAAAGATAAAGAAAAGAAACATTCAATGAAATAGGCGGAGCTGATGTTCCTGTGAAATTAGTCCTACCATAGAAAACCCCAATGAAACTGCTGATCCAAATTTTAACTTGCTGGATCTAATCAGAAGAACTGAAACAGCTGCAAGTGAAGATAGCAAAAATATTGTGTTTAATGTCAATCATTCTCTTGTGTCACAGAATGCTTGCTAAATGATGCTTTTTGATCCTGATTTGCCCTCTAATTAAATTGGCACATTTTTTTTTTGAAGCCAGCTAAGCTGGTAGCCAGCACCACATCTTCTTGGGAGCGAAAGCCCAAAGTTTAATTGCATGCTATTTGGAAAAAAATGCTTTCTTTTATCTATTCTGATTCTTCCATGATTCAATGTCATTAGATGGCCTTTGGTTTTTGTGCTTTAGGGTGAGGAAAATAACTTTTCTTTGTCCACTTTATCGACACCATATGTAATTTTGTAAACCTCAGCAATGTCCCCTTTTTTACAACACATTTCTATGCAAAAAAACAAAGCAAAAACCCACAAACCCTCCAAAGCAGTAAAAATCTCCACAGACCGTTCTCATCCTGGTCATTCATATTTCGGACTGTTACCATCAGGGAGACGTTATAGGTGTCTTAAAATGAGGACTAATAGTCTGAGAAACAGTTTCTTTTCCAAGGCAATAATTGTCTTGAATCAAACAGTGCATTTGTGATTTAGTCCAGTGTATATAGTGGCATTTTTAAACTATTTAACTTACTAAATGTTTTAGATAGGTTTTAGACTAAGTTTTTTTATTATTATTATTATTAATAATAATAATAATAATAATAATATTAATATTATTATAATTTTTAAATACTCTGTAGTGTGATTGTGATGTGGTGCTTGGAGCACTGTGCTGTAGTAGCTTTCAAATTTCATTGTATTCATGGAATGCAATGACAATAAAGGTATTCTATTCTATTCTATTCTATTCTATTCTATTCTATTCTATTCTATTCTATTCTA